CAACAGTAATCATGCAGACAGGAAAGGATTGATAACTGTAGTTCATCCAAATAGTGACAAATATTCACACATTAAGGGCAATAATTTTGTCTCTGGAAGTGCTTTGCGCTAAGCAGAAATTCATCTGGTGAAGCTTTTTCCACTAGGGCTTGTGTTTGCCTGTTAAATATTATTTCTGCTTGTACTGTGGCTGTTAAAGCATAGGAGCCTTAGAGGGAGGGAGGGAGGGAGGGACGTGGTAAGTAACCCCTGTTTTTAAACCATTTCATACATTTTGGGGGTGCACAAGCTGTTAATAGGAAGACTGCTTCAGACAGGAGGCTTTGTCATGCCCTAGCTAGGGCTCCCCCACACTGCATGATGGCATAAAAATAATGTGTGTGGAAAATATAGGCAACCATTTTTCATCCTAACAGGATGATTTAATTTGGATCCTAACAGAGTATTAGCTATTATCTTAGAAGTCTATGAATGTAGGCCAGAAAATGATGAATTATTGTTGCCATGCAGCCACTTCAGATGGCATTATTAAAGAATCTTAAATATGACTGGCCGAGTTCAGACTGGCAGTTTGCCCCAATATAGGCACATTTCAGAAACGTTCCACAACCGGATTAAAGGGGCCGTTCACACAGGCACATCTGTCAGGCGTTCCCCACCCGTACTCAACCCGTCTTGTAACACTTCGCTCCCGAGTTTAAAAGATACCTGGTGAAAGTGGTCGCAAACCCTGGAAAGCGCCATTATCCCACATCCATTCCGCACCAACAAAGTGAATGCCAAAAGCCGCGTTTTTCTTATGAGCTCATGCGCATATGCACATAAGCACATATCTCCAGATTACCAAAAAGAAAGCCACACCTTACAGCTGTGCCTCTGGGCCAACAGTGTGAACGCTCCCTTGCGCCTCCTCCTAGTATGCTCCCGCATCAGTCGCTGCAATGTGAACAGGAAAACCCGGAACAGTTTGTTCCAGCTCTTTTTTGCCACGACTCCCTCCCACTTCAAACTGCCAGTCTGAACTCAGCCACTGTTTTGCTGAACTGTGAAAGGAGTGTGTCAGGACAATGGACAGAACTGTAGCCCAAGTGCAGTGCCCTTGTACTGGACGATGGAATGTACTTTGGCCAAGAGGAGCCTTGTGCCTAAGCAGCATACTAAGCCAGATGTGGACTCTGGGACTATAGAAGCCTTCTGCATCTCCTCAGCCATGCCAGCAGCAGAATGCAAACCAGCAGCCCTGACTTCCATGCATACACAAACAACAGCAGATCACAGAGGGAAGCCATGCTCTGCAAAAAGGACAAGAGATTCTTGCACGGAAGCCATGAAAAACTCCCTTCTCCAGCACACAGGTATTCCCATCCCCCACTTATTATCATCACCAGGAGAAATGTGCATTCCTCTCCAGCCTAAGACAAAAGGATGTGCCCAATGACAACACTAGCCAGCCATCAAGCCATCAAGCTTTCCTGTCACCCATCAAGATAACACCTCATCACCGGACCTGCAACCTGATTGTTTCTCTTCCTTCTCTCCTTTGTCTACCCCCTTCCCCCAAGAGGTGTCACTCCCAGCCGAACATTAACTTCACAGTTGCCCAACCATTAATCCCCTTTCTGCCCCATTCTTAGCTTAAACTTTGTGTCTTTGCTCGCTGTCTTGCTTTTACCTCTCCTAACCCCACCATAACTTGCCGGTTCCATTCCTTGAGCAGTTTGGAACTTCTCCACATGTGTTGCTGACCAACTCACAGCCCTTTCCCTTATTTTTATCATTTTTTCATTGCTGAATCCACTCGCTTCGCCGGACAGGTAAAGTATCACCCCACCAATGATATTTCCTGCTAATGCAAACGTCTCTGTACTTTTCTTCTCTGAATTCTTAGTTCTGTATTGCGTGTATGCTTGATTTTATGTTTGTATGTTTGAGAATCCTTCAGTAAAGAAATCACTGCTTTACTAATCTAGCCTCAGCGTCTATTCCTGGGAACTCTGACTCTGGTATACACAGGTTAAAAGGTAAAGGTTCCCTTGCTTGAAAGCCAGTTGAATCCGACTCTAGGGTTGCGGTGCTCATCTCTGTTTCAAAGCTGAAGAGCCAGCGCTGTCCGAAGACGTTTCCGTGGTCATGTGGCCGGCATGACTAAACACCAAAGCGCATGGAACGCTGTTACCTTCCCACTGAAGTGGTACCTATGTATCTACTTGCAATTTCTCGCTTTCGAACTGCTAGGTTGGCAGGAGCTGGAACTAGAGGCGGGAGCTCACTCCATCATGTGGCACCCAGGTCTTGAACTGCTGAACTACCGACCTTCCACAGCCTGCAGTTGAGCGTCTTAACCACTTGAGCCACCGCAGCTCCATACACAGGTTATGGTCCTATAATTAACGCCTATTTCCATTTAATATTCATAATTCCCCACATTTATTAATAAAATAAGGCAATTTGGCTAATATTATTTGTACCTTTAATACATTTATCTGTTTGAACCACAAACATGCTGTCATATCCTTGGATTCAAAATTAAATTCTGTCTGGTAATACAGATGTCTGCACCTTAAAACTCCTTATCCATAAAGTGGCTTTTCCAGTTATTTGGTATTTCAA